AGACGGGGTTTCACCATGTTGACCAGGATGGTCTCGATCTCTTGACCTCGTGATCCACCCGCCTCGGCCTCCCAAAGTGCTGGGATTACAGGTGTGAGCCACCGCACCCGGCTGAAAAGGCATTTTTAAATGTGCATCTTAAATATGTAAGTTTCCTCATTCTTTCTGCAGAAGAATTAAGGGATCCCAAAGGTTTCACCTGACCCCGACATTTTGTGGTTCTATCTTCCCTACCACCAGTGGCTGAAATGTTACCATTAGAATGGTTTCTTTTCCTTAAGCCCTGCCTTCTGCCTGAAGCTATTTTTAAAAAATACAATTTTCCTTTAGAGGGCAGGGCCCTGACTCTGTGGTTTGAGTGAGTTAGGCCCCTTTGCCACAGATAGAAGGTTCTGGGGCAGAAGTGCAGGGGCCCTGGCTGGAGGGAAGGGATGTGCACAGTGGGAGAGACTGCATCCCAGAGCTGCCAGACCCCACAAACTCTGCCGCTTGCTAAGGACCTGCAGTGGCCCAGGACACCCTGCACCTGGCCTCTTGTCAGGACTGACTGCGTAATGACCGTGAAATTGCTCCGGTTAGATCCCCTGGCCGACCCCATCCACAGCCATTTCTTACAGCCTTCCTTTTTTTGTCCTTCTATATATTTCTTCCACCATCCTACCTCAAAAACTAAATTGAAGAAAAGTGAGTTTTGTCTTTTTTTAACGAGAAAACTAACAGTCTTAAATTACCTTCTTCAAAGTCTGCAAATAGAAATCACAAATAAGTCAGTCACATGGCTCAGTGAGCCCATGAGCTTGAAATAAGAGGCAGAGCAATGGCTCAGAGGAAATAATTGGGGCGTGGCCCAGCACCAGCCCAGGCAGCAACAACAGAATGAAAGGAGGGCCCAATTAGGGGTTGGAAATAATGGAGGAAGAGATGGAAATGCTAAACTCCCCAGCCCAGCGTGTGTGTCTTCTCTGCAGGCTCAGCAGCCACGGTCCATTGTAAGACTGACTCAGACAGCTGGCTGAGCATCTCCCTGAATAAGCATAAACCATGCCTCATTGCTTATGGTTCTGAAATAAAAGAGGTTCTCAAAATGGGGGTGATTTCTTAAAGAGCAACTATTCTGTGAGTGTGAGTATCCAGGTGCCCAGGGGGCACATGTAGCTTAAGGAGAGGAGGAAACCACAAAGGCTTCAGACTTTCTGAGGTTAAGACTGAGAAGGAAACAGGATTACCAGGCACAGTAGGACCTGCCTTTATCATCACCATTGATGTCATACCTCCTAGAGAGTCCATCAGGGGACGTCAGGACAAGAGACAGCATGGTGTTGGGGTAGACACGGGAGCTTTAGGACTGGAGTCTTAGGCTCTAGCCCCAGTTCTATGACATGTAATAATACCTAACACTGATTGAACATATACTTCATGCCAAGGACTATGCTAAACACTTCACGTAGATTATTTCATTAATCTCCAAAACAACCCTATATGTGTCATTATTATCCCCATTTACAGATGAGAATGCTGAAGGATGGAGGTCACGTAACGTGCCCTAAGTATCACACATCTTGTGACAGATCAGGGTGTGAACCCAGGGAGTCAGACTCCAGAAGCTCTTGTACTTCTTCCTGCCAAACCACCAGGTGTGGCTGGGCCTGCTTCCTCATCTGGAAAGTCAAGCTGCACAGCCAGGTCGGGTGGCCTGGGTGATCACTGGGGCCCTTTCCAGCACAGGTGCTCTGCTCTGGGGCTCATGCCACACTTGTGGATGCAGAGTCCTGTTCAAATGATGCAGAGTGCAAGTTTCCTATGCAAAGTAGTGACGCTGAACATCTGTATGTGTCTGTGTGTGTGTGTAGGACAGGTACACTTGCGTCCTGCAACGCTGATGAGACTGGAAAAGAGATTAAGAACACAGTAAGACCTGTGCAAAGTCTGTGGGAGACTAGGTTAGATCTTTGTTAAGAGGACAAAACTGACATCCAAAGGTCTGGAAGATTCCGCCCCAATTCACCTCCATTTGGTATCCTTTGCAATTCCCTGATCTTTGCTCCATGCTGCACACACATAGCCTCAAAGCCCCCAACAGATAGGCTAATGAGCCCTTTGACGGGAGCCTTGCCAAGGTGCTCTAGCTCCAAGAAGGATGAGGTGGTTGTTGGTGATTCCCCGGCCCAGCACATGTGTCTTCTCTGCAGGCCCAGCAGCCATGGCCCACTTTAAGACTGAGCAGGATGACTGGCTGATTGTCTACCTGAAGTATTTACTCTTTGTCTTCAACTTCTTCTTCTGGGTGAGTGAATTCTGCACACACATCCCCTTCCCCAGGCACTGAATGAGTCAAGCCACCTTTTGTTTTTTGTGTCACCACTTTGAGGTTAATATCTTCCAAATCAAAAATCAACCATGGGTGAACTCTTCCCACTTTAAAGCAAATATGTACATTTGCTACTGAGAAGGAAGAAAAGAATTGGTCTGCAGGTTGGCACAGAGCTCATACCACATGACATCTGAATAGATGCACAAACATAACAATAAGCTTTGTGTTCTAGCCCTGCTGTGCAAAGGGTCCAGTTCTTTCTTCCCCACTAACTTGTCGCGCCCATGCCTTTTGGAAAATGTGACTGCCTGAAATAATGACTGGAGTCCATTCACCTTTCATGGTTAACATTCTCCAGGCCCTGGGCAGAGAAACAGAAGTCCTGGGGGCTCTGACTACCGCTGCCTGTGATGAAAATGATCTCTATGGTAACTTCCCTCAGGAGCCTGCTTGGATGAGGTCTTCCAGAGGGGTGTAGTCCGTCCACTTGAAGCAATCACCCGAGTAATTGGGAGCAGAATACCACCAGTTCCCACAAATACACTGGAATGTATATATTTGTTATTATAGTCTCACTAAATTTGAGAAGGTAGAAGAGCACCAAGAGTGCAGGCTTTGCAGGCAGCTGGACCCAGCTCTGCCGACTACCAATGGTGCAGCCTTGGGCAACTTACTTAAGTTCAAGGAAACTGTTTCCCTAGCTACAACTCAATGATAATTTCTAGCCTGTTGGGGTTGCATTCAATAAATGCAGTATTTTGAATACATTAGATGTCAAATGCCTGAAAATGCCACCAAGTCAACCTATGATAAGGCAGAGCTGGGCTTCCTGCTTCCGTGGTAAGAGAGAAGTCTTTGAGTCTTGGAAGCATCTCAGAAATGCAAATGCAAAGGTGGGACATGTCTGAGTTTTCAGGGTCTTTCTTGCAGGGGCCTGCTTAGCATTGGAAAGGATCATAACATGAGAGTTTAGGATGGGTAGACATGGCAAGGCAAGAGTTTTGAAAAGTCTTGGAGAATAGACCAGTCAATATGCTATCTATTAAAAAGTTGGGCAATCTGCTATTTGTTCAAATGTTGTTTGCAAAGTTCCTGAAAGGAATAATAAAATAATTTGTCACTTTTATCTCCCTGGGCAAGAGTTTCCTGGAATAGTGAAGTTGTGATTATGAAGATAGTGCGAAAATAAAGCTGTGTTGAAATGGACAGTAAACTGTGTGGTAGAGATGGTTTCCATTCTGAGACACAAATCCAGTAGGATGATTAGGATTCTTGCTAAATAAGCATTTCTGCTTAAGAATATTTATTTCCTGGAGAGGATCCAAGATGGCCAAGTAGAAACAGCTTCGAGTGCAGTTCCCAGCAAGAACAACACAGAGGGTGAGTGCCCCACTACATTTCCAAACAAATTTTCACTGCCCACAGACCAGGAGATTCCCAGGCCAAAAATCATCAGGAGTTTTCAGCACAGCGGTTTCAGCTGGTGCCAGGTTGGTACACAGAAACTCACACAAATCTGGGCAGCCATTTCAACTGGTGCCTGGTATGCCTGGGAGACAGAGCCACCCATTCAACTGAAAGGGAGAGGGCAGAGACAGGGATCCAGGTGATCTGGCTCAGCAGGTACCACCCCCACAAAACAAGCAATCTGAAATGCTCTGGATTGAGTTTTGCAGCAAGCGCAGCTGGACCCAGGACGGTCCAGCTCAGTGGGGGGAAGGGCAACCACCACTACTGAGGCAGTTCACACAGCAGCTGGGCAGAGCCTGGAGCAGCTCAGCAACTCCCTGCTGGCAGACTGTGACTAGACTACTCCATGTGGCACAGGGCATCTGTGAAAAAAGGCAGCAGCATGACAGGAACTTACAAATAAAGCCAGCCTTCCTAGGACAGAGCACCTGGGAAAAGAGGCAGTTATGAGTTCTGCTGCGGCAGACTTAAGAATACCTGCCCAGCATCTCTGCATGGAACAACAGAGCTCACAGCTCAGCACTTGAGCTCCTATAAGGGACAGACTGTCTCCTCAAGCAGCTCCCCAACCCCTGTATACCCAAAGAGACACTTCATAAAGGAGAACTCGGGCCAAAATCTGGCAGGTACCCTTCTGGGATGAAGATAACAGAAGAAGAAACCGTCAGCAACCCTTACTGTTCTGCAGCCCCCGTGGGTGATCCCCAGGCAAGCAGGGCCTGGAGTAGACCTCCAGCAGTCCTGCAGCAGAGGGGCCTGACTGTTAGAAGGAAAACTAAAAAAAACAGAAAGAAATAACTTCATCTTCAACAAAAAGGACATCTACTCAGAGACCCCATCTGAAAGTCACCAACTACAAAGACCACAGGTAGATAAATCCACAAAGATGGGAAGAAACCAGGCAAAATGGATGAAAACACCCAAAACCAGAAAGCCTCTCCTCCTCCAAGGGATCACAACTCCTCACCAGCTAGGGATCAAAGATGGATGGAGAATGAATCTGATAAATTGACAGAAACAGGCTTCAAAAAGTGGGTAATAACAGACTTCTCAGAACTAAAAGAACATGTGCCTAAACCAATGCAAATAAACTAAGAACCTAGAAAAAAGGTTAGATGACAATGCTAACTAGAATAAACAGCTTAGAGAAGAATATAAACGACTTGATGGAGCTGAAAAATATAGCAGGAGAACTTCACGAAGCATACACAAGTTTCAATAGCCAACTTGACCAAGCAGAAGAAAGGATATCAAAGATGGAAGATCAACTCAATGAAATAAAATAAGAAGGCAGGAATAGAAAAAAAAGAGTGAAAAGAAATGAACAAAGCTTCCAAGAAATATGGGATTGCACCCCCGCGCCAGTCGGTAGCTGAGGCTGCGCGGGTTCTTGAGCAGCAGCCTTGTGCGCTGCTTCGCGGGCGAGGGAGTCAGGCAGACCAGACGCCCTCAGATTGGAAGCCAAAGCAGGAGTTCTTGTTGCTGAGGGGCCGCTGCAGCCACCCTGAGCCTCCAGACCCATGCCATACCGAGGAGGGCTCCGCACAGCGAACTTGGCAAGATGACCCAGTTCCTGCCACCCAACCTTCTGGCCCTTTTTGCCCCCCGTGACCCTATCCCATACCTGCCACCCCTGGAGAAACTGCCACATGAAAAACACCACAATCAACCTTACTGTGGCATTGCGCCCTACATTCCAGAGTTTGAGGACCCTCGAGATGCCCCTCCTCCAATTCGTGCAGAAACCCAGAGGAAGGCATGGAGAGGAAAAGACGGGAGAAGATTGAGCGGCGACAGCAGGAAGTGGAGACAGAGCTCACATGATCCCAGTGCTCAGGGGGATGCCTTCAAGACTCTCTTCATGGCGAGAATGAACTGTGACACAACAGAATCCAAGCTCTGGAGAGAGTTTGAGGTGTAGGGACCCATCAAAAGAATCCACATGGTCTACAGTAAGCGGTCGGGAAAGCCCCGGGGCTATGCCTTCATCGAGTATGAACATGAGTGGGACATGCACTCTGCTTACAAACACACAGACGGCAAGAAGACTGATGGCAGGAGGGTCCTTGTGGACGTGGAGAGGGGCCCAACTGTGAAGGGCTGGAGGCTCCAGCGACTAGGAGGCGGCCTCGGTGGTATCAGAAGAGGAGGGGCTGATGTGAACATCCGGCATTCAGGCCGCGATGACACCTCCCGCTAGGATGAGAGGGACCAGGACCGGGACTGCGAGCGGGAACGCAGAGAGCCGGGAGTGAGACAAAGAGCGAGAACGGCGACGCTCCCACTCTGGGGACCAGAGGAGGCGCTCACAGACTCAAGACAAGGAGGAGCATAGGCGCTTCAGGGAGCAGAGCAAGGACAAGGACAGGGACTGGAAACAGCGAAGCAGTCGGAGCCGGGAGTGGGCTGGGCGGTAGCAGGAGCGCAAGGAGCAGCTGCGCAGAGGCGGCGGCGACACGGCGGAGCCCTCCGAGGCGAGTCATGCGCCACCTGATGACGGGCCTCCAGGGGAGCTCGGGCCTGATGGCCCTGATGGTCCAGAGGAAAAGGGCAGGGATCATGACCGGGAGAGAGAGCGGAGCCATCGGAGTGAGTGTGAGCGGCACCGGGACGGGGATTGTGACCGTGACCGTGACCACGAGCACAAGCGGGGGGAGCGGGGCAGTGAGCGGGGCAGGGATGAGGCCCAAGGTGAGGGTGGCTGTGGCCAGGACAATGGGCTGGAGGGTCTGGGCAACCACAGCTGAGAAATTTACATGGAGTCTGAGGGCAGCGACAGCTACCTGGCTCCAGAGAATGGGTATTTGATGGAGGCTGCTGCCGGAGTGAAGCGGTCCTCTCCACCTGCTGTGACTGGACGCATTCCTATGCCACTCCCTTGCTGTCATCCCCTCCCCCAACCTTGGCCACCTCAGTTTGTCCTCCAAGGGTAGGTGTCTCATTGGTCCTGGCCCCTTGGATTTAAAAATAAAATTAATTTCCTGTTGCTAAAAAAAAAAGAAATATGGGATTATGTGAAAAGACCTAATCTATGTTTGATAGGTGTACCTGAATGTGACGGAGAGAATGAATCCAAGCTGGAAAACACTCTTCAGGATATCCAGGAGAACTCCCCCAACCTAGCAAGCCAGGCCACCATTCAAGTCCAGGAAATACAAAAACCACCACAAAGATATTCCTAAGAAGAGCAACCCCAAGGCACATAATCGTCAGATTCACCAGGGTTGAAATGAAAGAAAAAATGCTAAGGGCAGCTAGAGAGAAAGGTCGGTTACCCGCAAAGGGAAGCCCATCAGACTCACAGCAGGTGTCTCAGTAGAAACCCTACACCAGAAGAGAGTGGGGGCCAATATTCAACATCCTTAAAGAAAAGAACTTTTAACCTAGAATTACAGATCCAGGCAAACTAAGCTTCATAAGCAAAGGACCAATAAAATCCTTTACAAACAAGCAATTGCTGAGAGATTTTGTCACCACCAGGCCTGCCTTACAAGAGCTCCTGA